GATAGACTCAACTAATTCTTTCAAGTTCTTCCTTTTACTAGTCTCCATGTCCCGAAGTTTAGAGTTCCACTCTGTGAGTTTAGATTTAAGAAACTGAAGTTTTTTCTTAACAATAACCCAAGGGTTAGTCAACTCCACCTCCACCACCGACGTAGCCCATGCCTCCCGAACTATATCATCAAACCCCTCCATATCAAACCAAGAATGAAATATTCGAAAAGGTGTTAGACCATAATCCACCCGGTGCTCCAATAAGAGAATAGGGCGATGATCCTGAATATTCTTATCCAAAACCAAAGCTGAAAGGTGAGGAAAAGAATCCAAAAAACCCTCCGTAATAAAAAATCTATCGAGCTTGCTTAATTTGGAACCCCATTTATCACTCCAAGTGAATCTAGGACCACCCAAAGGAACATCCACCAGATCAACAAAGTTAATAAAATCATTAAAAACTCGAGCAGAAGACGAATGGAATTTCGACCCCATTCTCTCGGATTCATCCCTAACTTCATTGAAATCACCCATAATAATGCATTCCCCCGAAGAGTTAGATATAAAATTATAAATATCACACCAAAAATTCTTTTTTACTTAACTCTTGAGGAGCATAAACAACAATAAAATTCACTTGGAGATCCGAACGGATCCAAACCGCTTCAATAACAACAAAGCCATCATGAATAGAAACATGATTATGAGAAATCAAATCCACATCCCAAATAGCTAGGATACCCCCGGAAGCTCCAAGAGAAGGAGAGAAAGCATACATAAAATAAGAATTACCCCAAAAAGATCTAGCCATAACTAAGTCAATACGTTCCATCTTAGTTTCTCGAATAGCTAAAAAATTAACTTTATGACGATTACAAAATTTTCTTATCCAACTCCTCTTATCAGAAGAGGACGCCCCTTGAATATTGATTGATAAACAATTCATTTTGGAACTTGCCTTTGAACGTGGCCTTGTAAAATCTCTATTACATGATCCATGCATCCATCCATATTATACCCCAACGCTTCTCCCACAGCAATGGTTTTTTGTAATTCCTCAAGAAAAGAATTATTTTTTTCAATACCACCTGTGTTGCTTTGATTATTTTCCGAAAACGAAAAACATTGATTTGAAAAACCCGGGGGATGCGAAAGATCTTCTTCAGAACTGTTAATTTCCAAACCTTGACCATAACCTCCAGAAGCACCCATCCGATTAATTTGATCCGTATCATTAACTGAATAATTTCCAAGATTACCCTCATTCACAACCCCTGTATTCTGATTATCAGCATACAATTTTCGAGGCTTAGATGAGAAAAAAGGGGTTGATGCTGTAGAAAACGAATCTAGAACATCTTCAAATGTTGTTGTCGCATTTTTGACAGCAGCAAAGGCTGTTGTCGCAATTTTGACAGCACCAGGGCCATCTTGGTCTGCTGTCGGTGTAACTTCATTTTGAGGGAAAGGTGGTTCTTGATCAAGATTATTAAGGCTCTGTTGACTCACATGAATCGTACTAGGACAAGCAACAGGTTCCTGAAAAACTGATTCGTCATTAATTTGGGCAGAATTCCTATAATGCCCCTGAGATGAATCCTTATGCAACTTGGTTGATTTTTTAAGTTCCTCTTCATTATCCAATTTTTTCATAACATCATAAATACCAAAAGTATCTAATGATACATCTTACTTATCACTTAGTGAAACATTACTACCCTCATGATCTTGTTGAAATCTATGAAATTCATCAACACTATCATTATTAGAATTTTTGTTGAATTCACATACAAATGTTGGATTCCACCCGGGAGCTTCTTTGATACGAATGAGGAAAATTTCACCATCAATACTAACTTTAATAACTTCAGAAATTATTCGAAGAAAGGAAGTGAGGATACAAACACATGACTTGTATACATCTTCACCAATGTTGTCATCAAGATGGGCAATTGAACCCCATTTGGCCAAGATATGTCTAAAGGAATTTTTATTCCAAGCGCGTAAGGGAAGGCCTTCTACATCAACCCATACAATATGATCCGTTGGCACAAATGTTTTGTCCCACTTTCTTTTCTCAATTATCCAGTGATTAACTGCATCATTATTCAAGAAATTTTTGCATGCTTCTTTAGATTTAAATTCAAACATCACCCACAAACCACTCACATAGCGAATAATAAATTCATCAAAACCTTCATCGTGACACAGCATCCCCAAATTAAGAAGAGTACTAAAATGACGAGCCTTAGCTAAACAAGCTAATTTTTTTATTATCAATAACAAAATTTCCTGATTCAAGAACTATGACTGATTCTTACCTGTCGGCTGGAGGTTCCTCTTTTCTACTACCTCTTACTGCATTTGCATATGAAACAGGAAGGTTCTCCCATTTCTTCTCCACCCCAGTTGGTTCCATATAAGAATTAGACTCTTTCCTGTGAATACGAGGGACAAAAGCAAACATCTTGTGATACCCAAACCACACTTCACAAAGGTTCTTGATCATATGATGAATATTAACAGTGCCCGAAAATCTGACAAAACCAAATCGTTTCCCCAAACGAGACAACTTTTTAGAGATATACACGTCACAAACTTTTCCAAACCGAGAGCATGTTCGCCATATATCAGAATGAATGATGTAGTCTGGGAAATTTGTAATGTAGAAAGACTGTGACACATACCTGATAAATGCATGAATTCTTTCGTTGGAGGTGTTCTTTATGTGATTATTATTCTTTTTCCTCCCCCACCAATCAAAGCACGAGACTTACTAGAGGCCATTGATTAAAACTCTATTACAATCAAAGTTTTTGCATGTATTCTTCCCAGCGTAGAAACAGGGGTGATCACCAAACACACAGTACTCGAACATGAGAATGGGAGATGAGAGACGAGAGATGATGCCCAGGCCTTGCCGGCGTTTGACCCCACCGGAGAAGAAGGGTTGAACCGGACGGAAAAGATTGAGATCCGAAATCATTATACATATTAGCTTATATGATAAACTAGTTTGGATAATCTACATCATTCTTTTAATTTTTAATTAAATTTTTTTAGGGACAAAAAAATCATTAATTCCTTCATTTGGATACATCTTGTGATTGTAGTTTGTCTCAATTCACACTATTGGTCCAATTATCGGGTTTCGTAACATAGTGGGTCCATGTGGTTAGTATGTGTTGCATTAATGGTCATTGGTGTTATGGCTCGTTAAATCTAACCATTTGGTTAGTTATTACTTTTGTAAATATGACAATTTTACCATCACCCTCGCATGGACCAAAACTGTAACATTTTTTTTTAAAATTAAAAGACTATTGAAGGTAATGAGCTTTCATAACCATTGTTGGGTCAACAAATATGGTTTATACTTTACTTTTTTAGACAATTGTAGTTTTTGGTCTAGGTCCGTAAACAGCCTTGGGTTTACGGCTGGAGATGTTTACAGCTAATGTGTCGTTTACGGCTCATGGTGTGTTTGCTGCTGCAAACTCGTTTGCGGCTGTAAACGTGTTTGCAGCCACTGTTCCCCATATATATAGTGTTAGTAGATTCATAAGGGAGTGGAGCTATGTGTGTGTAAATCAAGGTGTTCTAGAGAGAGAAAGTGAGAGAGAAGAAAAGTGTGTGTGTGTGAATCTCATATGTATGGAGCATCATTCATATTATTGAATACATCATAGATTTATCTTCTTCTTCTCCTTCTTCTATATTTGATCTTGCATCATCCACTTGATTGAGATTCCGCACTATCAAGTGGATCTGATTGATACATCAAGCTAAATTTTGGGACTTACAGTTGGTATCCGAGTTTGGATTGTATTAATCATTTTGACAAGTTCTGGAGCGTTTTTGCACTTTTTCATGAATGATTTTTCGTTTTTGGATAGTTTTTTGAAAAATATTAGGGGTTTGTTCTTCGAGTTTTTCATAAAAATGAGTTTTTAGTCGACTTTTGGAGCTTAAAATGTAAAAAAACGTTGTTTTTGGTCGTAACCAGCGAGGGGGGTGGCGGCGTTTTCAGTCAGCAGCTAGGGTTTCCGAAGCGTTTATGGCCGAAATCTCGTTTGCGATTAAGCAGTTTACGGCCAAAATCTCATGTGCGATCCGATGCCGTTTAGAGCCGAAATCAGCTTTCGGGTGCGAAGTTGTACATGTGTTCGGTGAGCAGCCTCGCGTGTTTGGTCCACGTGTTCAGCTCGCATTCTCGGTCAGCATCGTTCTCGGTTAGCTCGTGCGAAAAAAGAAAGTAGCAGCGAATACTCAAATTTTTTTGGGGTGGAGGATGATCGAACCTGAGTCTCCCATACTCTCAGCCCACCACTTTACCAACTCATCTAGCAAGCCTGGTGTTATATCTCTTCCCGATTTAATTCAAATATCATAATTTCGATCCTAGTTTCGAAATTTTAACAACTTTGGCCCAAAATTCAAATTTTCAAATTTTAAAGTTTCATTTTTAACCCAAAATATTGGTTTTTAATTTTTTACTTTTGACATTAAAATTTTGACTTTGACTTTCAAGTTTGACATTTGACTTTAAACTTTGACTTTCTCATTAACCTTCAAATTTATATTCTTTGCTTTTCGGTTTAACTTCTAAGTTTGACTTTTTCAAGTTTGACTTTATAAGATTGACTTTCAAGGTTGACTTTTGAGGTTTTAAGTTAAAGGCCAATTTAAAAAAAAAAAAAACAATGAGTTTCTCAAATATCTCGGTCAATAAAGTTTCATGTTCTAAATCTTGTGAAGCTACAATTAAATTTCTTTGTGAACAAAATGATTTACCAAAAAGGGAAAATGAGGACCTTAAATATGAATGATATACTCTTAGGAAGGCCTAAAAACCCTTAAAAACACAACTACATACCAAAACAAAGGACGTTCGAAAACTTCAAGAGGAAAATAGCAACAATTGTGAAAACTATGACTATGTTAAGAGACAACTTGCCGAATTAACTGTCGAACTTGATGTATTGAAAGATAGATATAATGATGCTGAATTCACTTTAAGAAATTTGATGTGTCGAGTGAGGTAGTTGCATCCATGATTGAAAAACAACTAAAGTTCAAAGATAATCAAAGCAAAGGTCTAGGGTATAATAATGTTCCACCTCTCTTAATGACAACTATAACCCACCCCTTAAGACCAATGAGGAAGAAATTCCTACTCAATTTGGCCTAGGGTGTTGATCGGGTAAAATTTTCGGGTTTCGGGTAATTCGGATCAGATACTTCGGGTTTTTTCATATAAAAAAAATTACCCGTTACCCTACCAAAATTAAATTCGGGTAATGGGTCAAGTAAGGGTAATTCGGGTATTACCCGATTTTTAAAATTGTTTTTAATTTTTTGATGACACCTAAAAATAAATGTAATGAAATAAGTATGTCGTGCTAAACTTTTAACATTGAGATTTTTTATTCAAAAATATTTGAGATATCAAGTATTCATTTAATAATTAATCAAATCTAATAAGATGTTAAAAAAACAAACACTTCAAGAAATAATAACAACCAAAGTCTACCATTTAAATTACTTGATATCAATGTATATGCATGTATTTTGCATTTACCAAAAAACTCATGTCTTAAATCTAGAAAACATAGAAAACCATTACATAGTATGAAAATAATAACATGTCAAGTTCCAAAAGACATTCATAAATATACTTGTCTTCTTGCACCTACTCGTTCTTCTTGCACCTTCACTTCATCTTGCTCAATTCTACATAAAAAAGTCAAATAATATTAGTATTAAAAGAGAAAAGATATTAAATTTACAATAATTAAAATAATGAGTGATAAACGATTACCTTTGTCAATTTGTTGATTTTCTTCCCAATCTTTTTCATAATCGATTGTGTCACTTATGCTACCCCGAATCAAATCTTGTGTCCAAATTAATCTTTCAACAATCTTAGGAGTCAAAGAACTCCTAAACGGATCCAACACCCTCCCACTAGTGCTAAAAAAGGATTCTGAAGCTACGGTTGAGACGGGAATGTCAAACACATCTCTTGCCATCAATGATAGAATCGAGAATCTTGGACTATTCACTTTCCATCAATCTAGAATACTAAACATTTTTGGGATGTCTTCAACACTTTATTGCAAATATTTTTCTGACTCCCCAATTGATTCAACTATGTTCGTCTTCATCATTTCTCTTAGTTTATTTCTCAATGGGGGATTAGGTGCCATAAAATCCGGGTTTTGGCGTTTCGTTAGTATCGATGATGAAGTAGTAGACTCGGCAGTACTTGAAGTAGAACTTGGAGAATGAATTCTAATATAATCATTATATAATTCATACATAGAATCCATGATATATTTCTTTTTGGCCTCCACCCCCTTTTCTCCATAACGATCCTCAAGTAATATAACCAAATACTTTACTTTGTTCCTCAGATCAAGAATCAAAGCAAAGTAGAGCAATAAATTCATTTTTTCTATGTCGCCAAAATACTTATCAAACTTCAATTTCATGGCAAATGCAATATCACAAAAACCAGAATCAGAAATACCATCATCCAAGAGCGTATGAATGGAATATATATCTTCAATGCATGTGTTTGATGTGACATAAAGTGTCGCGGAAATCCTCAAAGTAACATCATGAAAAGGTTTTAAAAAATGACATACATTCCTAACCCTTTCCCAATCGCTTGATGAAGGTATCGACAAACCTGTCTTTTCAATTTCGTACCGAAAATCAAATTCCTCGAGATCTTATCCCTCAAAAGTTTTTTCGTAAGCTTGGGAAATTTCCAACATATGGTAAGTGGAGTCCCATCTTGTTAGCACATCTCTCTTCAAATGTTTTGTTATACCAGGATTAGCAACCTTAGCAAACTCGGTAAACTTATGAATTCTAGAAGGTGATTGCCTAATCCATTTAACTGCCCGTCGAACTATCTCAACCGCCTTATCAACTTTTTTTATGCCATCTTGCACCACTAAATTTAAAATGTGGGCAACACAATGAATGTGCATCCATTTCCCACTTAGAAGACACTTGTTGGAGTTTTGAAAACTTTTTTTCAAGAAGTCAATTGCCACATCAGCCGCACTTGCATTGTCAACATAAATTGTGAAAACGTTTTCTATTTCCCACTCCATTAAACATTTCTCAACCATTTTCCCAATATCAACCCCACGGTGACTCTTTTGAGAAGAAAAACACAACACTTTTTTTTTTCAATTTCCATTCGTTGTCAATAAAGTGGGCGGTGAGACACATATAATATGATTGTTGTTTAGAAGTCCACGTATCGGTGGTCAAACATATTCTACCAACATTTTTTTTAATAAAGTCACAAATTTTTTCATTTTCATCTACAAACAATTGGTAGACATACGTTGTGCTTGTACTTCTACATGGAACTTTAAACAATGGTTGATTAACACTATTGTAATACCTAAAGCCCACACCTTCTACAAAGCTAAAAGGAAGTTCATCAACTACCAACATGTGAGCTCGAGCTTTCCGACTCTCATCTTG